GAGTAGTATACACTGTGGTAAAGTCCTAAACTGGTCGCACTGTCCTCGTCAAGTCTGAACCATTTCGTTACAGAAAAGAACGTTAAAATTTTATAAGAAACGTTTTTGGATAGCTTAAACCTTCTACTTTTATAATCCAAAGAATGAAAGCAATAACATTTTATTAAACAAAAAATTTTGATAAATATTCCGAAACGACTCAAAAAACAGGGTGCAAAAGTCTGACCGGTTTTTATTTCTGGATTTTCGGTATTTCTTGTCTTTCTGCATAAACTTGGTTCTAATTTATTTTAGATGCCAGGACGATATCTATCAACGCCTGACAAAGAGAAAATTGTCGAGAATCGAACAAAAGGCGTTCGCGTGAAGAATGTGATGGAAACGTTCAAGTGTTCTGAAAAAACAGTGAGACGTCTCGTGGCGCAATTCAAATCAAAAGGAAACGCCCTATAGAGCCCCAAAAGAGGTCGATCACCAATTATAACACCAAATGAGGATCGTCTGATCATCAGGAGCACCGACAAACCCCAATCTAACGTCGAGCCATGGGATCAAGAAGTTGAAAGCTGTTTCTGGCAAGGATATTCCCGGGATGGAGCATCAACCGTCGGCTTGATTCGGAGCAGAATTGCATGCAAGAAGACCAGCAAAACGATTCCTTGACCATTGCAAAACTCGGAAGCTGAGATATGATTTTTGCAAAGAACTACGAGCGTTGGACTTCTAATGACTGGGCCCGGAGTCATTTTTACCGATGAGACTAGAATTAATTTATACTACCCGGACGGTAACCATTTAATCAGAAGACCAATTGGACAACGTTATAAGCTCAAATACGTTTGTCACCGGTCGGGTTCGGTGGTGGGAGTATTATGTTGTGGGGTAAGGTCGCCCTATTTTACTTTACGATTTGCTTTTAGGCTCGATGAATCGAAGTGGATCGGGACCGCTAGTGTTTATCGATGGAAATCTCGACGCTCAAAGGTACAAGCCACCATAGAGAACAACTTACTTCCATTTGCAAACACGAACATGCCACAAGGATGGGCCTTATATCAAGACAACGCCTCAGCCACAAAAAGCCAATGATTGATGGGTCGAGTTGTCCGGCTTGCAAATGGAGGTAAAGTTCGCCTGCCTGGCTTTTGCTGCTCATCGTGTGGAATTGATCAGGACACCTCCCTATTCACGGATCTGAACGTTATAGAGCATCTTAGGGCCCATTTAAAAGCCAAACTCAAGGGACGCCGGTTCAACCTAAAGGTCGATGCTTATTTCTTTATCAGAAATGTTTGGAGACAACTTTCTTTGGGAATTTACGTGATTTGGTCGACTCGATGCCTAGACGCATCAAGGCAGTCATTGTCGCAAAAGGAGGATCTTCATTAGCGGCTGAATTTTTCTGTGTTTTCTTGTACCAAAACAACACTTTTGTAAAATCATGTTTTTTTGTTTGTTTCGGAATATTTGTCAAAATTTTATAATAAAATTGTTGTTACTCGGATCTTTTGATTATAGTGCTAAGGTCATTCCGTCCAAAAAACGTTTTATCATAAAATCTTGACCCACTTTTCCTAAAGAAATGTTCAGATTCTGATAGTACGCCAACCTGGCTCAGGACTTTTGCACCACAGTGTAATAGTATATAGTAAAATGGTAATGTAATAACCTAGTATAGACCGATGGCTAGCAATGTTACGAGGGACAAAGAAGATGTAATGTATGCAATTGGGATTCGAATAAATTTCTTCTGGTATTAGAAGTTATAAAATTACAATACAACACCATAATAGGGACAAAATAAAATACAAGGTATACAAAGCGTGTTTTGTGTTAGAGGATGATTCTTCGAGGCTTTGGAAATTTCAAATTTGAAACTAGCTTTTGATTTTGAGGATTATGGAGATTTCGTTAAGGAGATTATTCAAAGTTCATCGCGTTCGACAATCTTTTCAGTGTTTCATACTTTTGCGAGATCGATGGGCTCAAGTTAAAATGAAACTTCAGATTTCTTATTGAATTTTTAATTTCTTTAAGTAGCAAAAACATTTCTTGTGATGTCTGAGTCATTTTTATATAAGAATAATTTATTGATACGATAATAGCATAAATTTCTAATAATATAATAAAATATATGGAGAGTAATAAAACAAAAGACATTCCCTGACTCGCCATCAAGTCCATCAAAAGGAATCTAGGCTGCAGTTCTTTCAGTCTACACAAGGTAGAGCCACCAAATCAAGCCCATTAATTGGATTTTATAGATGAATTGAAAAGTGTCCCCCCATGAAATTGATGAGAGAATCCCACAATCTCATATTGCGAATCTGGAAAGAATTCAAATAGATAGTTGAGGATGAAAGGGAATGAAAACGAGCAAAAATAAAAAATAAATGGAATCTCCGAGAAAAAGAAAGGAAATCTACAAAATAGGATTGATGAGAAAGGTTGCGAAGATTGTTGTGGGTGGATGACAAGCAATATCTGCTAGTCTTGGTTGACATCAAATCATCCAAAAACCGTTAGTTCTGATTGAGTCATCATCCTCATTATCACGTTGATCTTGCAGATCTTGACTTCTTTTGGTAAGGTGATTGTTTCGAAACAACCCTCCAAATTATTGCTGGCGTTTCACCGAATCTCGCAGCAAACAACATGTCGTTAGGATTTTTCTTCCACGATCGAACTCCGGGAGTCTCGGCAAGCACTTTACATAAAGTGTCGTGTATCAGTGGCGTTTTCTCGCCTGGTGAGTGCTGCAGACGAAGCTTCCCCTGGTAGTCGCGACCTGGAATCCATTTCATTTTTGTTTCCTCCAACACTTTGATCAATATCTCGGGATTTTGGATTAAAAGAACGATTTGTTTGGCACAAGATTTCGAAAGTGCAGCCCAAAAGTGGTTGTTTAGGAAATCATCAATGAAAAGAAAAAGAGACTGACATTTCGGGAGTCGTGTCTCGATCATTCCTGACAAAAATTGGATATGGTTTTCCTCTTGAAATTTTCGAGGGTAAGAAAGAAAAAAGTTATCGATAGATTTGAGGGGAAATTGATGAAAGAAGTCGAAGTGTTCTCGGAGGTTGGATACGACTATTTCAAAACCATTAACACTATGAAGTTGTGGGAAAATATGAAAAAGCGAGGTGATTCCCATTGAGCTCACAGATTGTCAGCAAATGTGAAATTCTCGACAAGAACGAATCGGTATGATTGGAAAACGTCGACAAACGACATTTTTCGGCTCGTCATAAATAACTCGATTGCTAAACAAACCCCCTTGTGGAGCCCAGATTTCGATGGCAAGCGGTAGAATGAAAGGATCCGAACCTCTTTCTACCATGTTACTGAGAATTTCATCTGATCGAATTTGATGGAAGAAGCATTTGATAGCATTGACCTTTCGTGGATACGGGCCTCGGATTAGAATTTGAGTTCTGAATCGTTTGTTCACTCGTAAAAGAAGAAGTGATGGATGGATCTCAACACAATCTAATACTTCATTTTCAAGGATTTCGGGTAACAGATCCAATTTGAAAGCGGTCATCATGGTGATCCAGTTTAGACAGGCTCTAGAGATGAAATGGAAATAGATTGGCTGTATAAAGTACAAATTCCGAACTGATCTTCTCGATTGCCAATGGGCACGCGGGTAAATTTATGGGACAAACGAAAAACATTACTCTCGACTACGGTACAATTAGCAAGACAATTGGTTGTGAGAAAATCTTTTCCATTTCATCTCATCCCCAAATACATTCCAGAAAACTACCTAAAGTTAGGTGAAAATTTCGATTGTAGTATTGCAGTCATGGACAAAAGTCTTTTAACATTGGTTTTTAGAAGTTTGTTCTTTGTATATCTTGGTCCAAATCCGAGCAATTTGCAAGCGGTTAAAAGATTTAAAGAGCTTATTATCTCTAATTTTAACATTACAAAAAGATGGATTTAACAATTTATCAGGTGTCATGAACTTTTTAATAAAACAAAAATTGGGCCAAAAATTGATGGACAAAAGTCTTTTAACATCGCAGTTTCTTCGTGCAATTTTCTGTTTTTCCTATTGATTTCTGGTTGCTTTTAGCTTTTTTTTAATCAAATAATCTTTTTACTAATTTTCTTGACTTTTATAAGTTGGTTTTAGAAGTTTGTAGAAGTTTATAAGTTATATGAGCTTAACCTTTGTTGCCTCGATTCGTTGCTTTGTGTAGAGCTCTAGCTGAAGCGTCGAGAATTGGCATTTATCATGAAAGGTGATTGTTCTCATATCTATATTTTAAACAAAAACTATAATATAAATATACACATTATCACAAACCATATAACGAAGCGATCTGTTCTGTTCCAACTGTGGCTTTAGTTTTTATCGTGATCAGCTTTGGAGTGCGATCCTCTTTCCTACGCAGCCCATCGACCAGGGTTTGGTAAGAAGAGCTGTAAATTTTCTAGTCAATGGATCGTTTTTGATCGTTCGATTAATACAAAAAAAAATTGTCCAGTCAAATCGGTAGTCAAGCGGATGAAAAATCTAGTAAAAGTTGTTGTACAGGGTGCGGCAGGATTATGGAAACTCGGTTTTTCGACTGTAACTCGACACCCAATTATTCAATTCCCCTAATTTCAGATTTATATGAAATTTCAAGTTAATTTCTGCTTTCAATCTCAATTTTTTAGTTCAGGAACACAGTGTTACGTTTTTTTATAGTGCTTCGAAGTTCAGAGGTGCCAACCTCTCGGTAGAATCATCGTTTTCGCTAGTTTTTGACTTCATTGCACAACTCAACCAATTCTTTTAGTTTTTTATCCACTTCTTCGTCAAACTTAGACAATTATCACAAAATAAATGCATTAACAGGAACTGGACATTAACAGGACAGCAAATCAGGAAGAATTTAGAGTGGCACCATGCAGATCGCTGCTCTGCTCAGCTTTCAGGGAATTCAACTATTGGCTCTCAGAATTTTGAAACTATTGAAAATCTTCTGATGTGAAATGCTTCAGATAAATCTATTTACGCAATTCGAAGCTCTTCCAATGGTGATGGAGCACAAGCACAACCGATATGTGGAAAAAGATCACTGATCATTTGAGTGATTTCGGAGAGATCTGGTGAAGTGGAGCATCGCTTCTAAAAGATGAAAAGACGAGGTGAAACAATGTGATCAACTCAACCCGAACATTTGCAATCAAATCTTTTCCACTCAAATGATGATTCGGAGTGTCGCGTAGTAAGAAGATCAAACTCTAAACAATCAAGAGATGGAAATGCCCAGATTTTACAACCTTTCCCATTTGTTGATCAGGAAAAGCGGCAGCAAATTCAGCGAAACGTCGGATTTCGTAGAGATCATCGGCTCCAATGTTACTTCGTAAATTGACAATCTGAAAAGATCAACTAGAGACAAAATTCGTGAAGTTGAAATTTCTATTTCTTCTTTACTTGGGAATCAGATATGAGCCTAGCCATCTTAGCAATCCATCCAGAAACCGCCGGATCGGTTTGATTGTCGAAAACCCCCTGCGAGTCGATCAAGAAAAGCAAGTGCTATAAAGAAGTTCATCTTGTCAACCAAAAGCCTTTAATCACTTCTCTTCCTTCAATGTTCCACGTAATTGGATATCTGTGGATCAGAATCCCCTCCGTGAAGCGATCGTAGCCCGATCTGAAGGAGCCCCTAAAAGTCGAATTTCCGATTTCAGTCGATCATTAATTTTACATACAAAATCTCGTCCTTTCGCTGATTTCCGGTCAAATAGAACATGAGAAAACTCTTGCCGGTTCGCGAGGGGCCAATCATACTAACAAGATGAACCTGAAAGAAAAGAACTAAACGAAAACTATCGTCTTTACTTTGAATGTATCATGTGCTTTGTTATAAAGCCTCAAAATCAAGTTTGGAGACAGGTTTTGGGCGCTATTTTTGTCGTTCGTTTCTTTGATAATCCCTTGAGGTTTACTTGTTTTGTTAAGTACAGTATCCAGAGTGTGACGAAAGTTTTATCCTTTTTAGAATTCTCTCTAAAAGCTTCCTTTTTGTTTTTATTTCATAAGTGCTTATAGCCAAAAGATAGCCAATCTTTTATAGAATTCAAGTCTTCTTACAGTTTTTAAAGAACTTCTTTAGATTTTGAGTTATTGCCATTCTATGTTCTTCGAAAAATGTATCTGCGGACATATTTTTGCGCTTTTTCTTGGCAAAAATTCTATAATACCTACAAACTTATTGAAAACTGTTGTTGTATTTTCAGTTTGGAACTGATAAACAATTGTTGTGAATACTCCTAATTGTCTCAGTTCTAAGTTTGACAAATTTTCTGATACTGGTAATACTAATAACTGTTTTTGCGGGAGAAAATCCGGAGATCAGCCGATGGATCAAAGAGGAAATGTGAATGGGATAAGGAAGGAATTTTACATCATGATTGCTTATAGTGTTTGGAAACGTGAGTTTGGCTTGCTCACTTATTTGTGACGAGTTGGACATAGACGACCAGAGCTTTATAAATCTTTGACATTCAAGCGTAGAGAATAGGGAGCAGACCTAGACCTGTGGTCGAAGCCAGTCAGTCTAGTGCTAGGGATTGTTTGTGGGCCCGGTAAGGTGCAGGTGCAGTAAAGCCAGGGCGAACCTGCATTAGATCAGGCTTCTCACTTTGTTTAGTTAGGAAATCCTCCTTTTAAATAACCGCATTAGAAAATCGGCCATTGATGCGTAATGTATCCAACTTGCCTTTAGGAGCTTTCTACTACTCAAGAGGAAATGATCAAGTTCTGCTTGGTGGTAAATTTTAGAGTTAGTACATCTCAAGCTTTATCTATACATTAGAACAAATTTCGGACAAAAGCGACACTTGTCAATCTTATCTTATTGTTAGCCCTTCTAGGACTCTCTCAAAAGCAATTCTCCGGACTAGACATGTCATGGTTCTGCTAGAAGCCAGGCCTGGATCTAGCTTCTGGATCAATAAGTAGCCGAAAACAGCTTTCAAAAATTTAAACAAGCAAATGAAACAATTCATGAAACAAAAGACAAATGCGGATTTGTCAAGTAAAATCCAGATTATCCGGTATGCATTCACTCGAATTGAACTGAATGAGATTAGACGTCATTGTGGAGAGAGGGAGACCCGTCGTCACCAGGCCTTCTCCGAATATTTCACCAATTCAATCACATCTTCTGCGCTAATTCCTCCAAATGTTGTATGGTACCGGGGATGCCATGTGGTCCCTTGGAAAGACACGGTTTGCTTTAACGGTCTCAAGAGAAACACTTTTAGTGGCTTCGCGGTTCTGTGGTTAGTGCACGTTTTCCCAACCAAAAAGGATTCAATCCCTTTCGAAATTTCTCATTTACTTTTTAAAGTTTAAAGGGTTTTTTGGGGGTGCGTGTTGTGTGTGTGTGTGGTGTGTGTGTTTTTTTTCTGCGGGTGGTTTTGTACTGCTGTTGTTGTTTTTATTGAAAACTTGTTTGATTTAATGACATATTAGTAAAACGTAAAACCTATTAGAAGATTTGAACATATCTTTAACAACCTTTTAAAATTCGTCTATTGACCGTTAAAGACGCGTACCAAACTCTTAATATTACCGTTTCCCCCTTTGTCCTATATCTCGACTTTTTCTGAGCAAACATTTGCGCTAAATTGGACATTTCTATAGCAGAGTTTCGTGAGGAATCCAATGAAACCTAACACAAGTCGATCCGACTTCCGGGAGCCGAGATATAGGGCAAAGGGCGATCGTACGTCCTTTTTGTTAAGGCTCCATACCTAAGGGTCGTACGATCGCCCTTTTAAAAAGTTTGTTCAGCGAAAATGCTGGAATCAAGTTCGCTTTTTTTTTAAAAATGTAGCTTAGGTTTTTGGCTATCTTTAAGTTGTTTTATTTAATGTAAATGGTAAATCGGTCACCGAGAAATCGGGCGTTAAAGTGATCAAGTTTCAGAAAATCACAGAGTTTACCGTCAGTATAAGTATTGTAGTGCGGTAACCCAAAGCTGAGATTCCGTATCGACGGGAAAAGTTCAAAAATGCTATAATTTGCTATTTCATCGTATTTTTGAGCTTTTTAAAACGATTCGCTACGGATAACTTGAGTTACTAGCATCATTTAGAATAAAGGCGAATTCTAATGAAAAATCTAAATTTTCTAAACTTTTTTTAAAGCTTCTTCCGGTCGAAGTAAGGTTTTTCTCACTTAGAATTTCAAGGCGGACCTAATGGTGGCGGTTGCAGAACGATCTGAGAAAAAAAAATTTCTCCACAACCATCGCCACAACCACCACCTTGAAATTCTGAGTCAGAAAAACCTCAATTCTTCAAGAAGCTTTAGGCAAAATTTCAGAATTTCACTTATAAAATATTGAGTGTTTACTCAGCCAATATAACCAAAATGGCTATATTAATCCGGTAATATTGGTAAACTGACGTCAAGCCAAATGTGCATGAATGTGAAATGCGCCATTCACGTGTGAATAAGCCAGAAACCAGTCTGTAAGCTGATTTGTTTTACAAGATTTTTAATGGACTACAGGATTACAAGATTAATCAATTATGGCATTTTATGTATGAATAAAGATTAATTAAGCTGAAAAGCTGAAAAACATTCTAGACACTGTAATTTAATTACCCAAAACAAAAAGGGTTAATGCTTACAGGTACCACACTTTACAGTAGCATGCCAATCTAACTAAACTAAAAATGCTATTTTAAAGAGATTTCTCAGTTCGGGAAAATCCAAGTTGAATATAAAAATCAAGTAAAAACTGATCAAGAGAAGTTGATCAAGAGAAGGCATCTGACGGGCCAAAGGACAGGTGCACCTGTACTGTACTGTAAACCTGAGCACCTAGGTGCTCAGGTTTACAGTACAGTGAAAACTAGAGCCGATCCCTTTTTGTAAATGTTTACGAAAGAAATACAAAAAATTGTCGAAAAATCAGACTTTCTTGCCCATTAATGCATAAAAAGATTTACTAAGTCAAATTGTATTACAAGTACATCCATTCTGCAATTGTTTGACATCCATTAAAGAATTTTTGTTATGACCAGTTCTGGCCTGGGCTGGCCTAGCCTAGTTTACAGCCCCTGGACCCCGTTTGGAGCAACCTCGACCTTAATGTTAGACCATCTAGCCAGTCTTTAGACGCTAACCTTTAGCTGCTAGATGAGAGATGGGAGTAAGTAAAGAGTTAATCTAGATCTATACAGTAGTACAGTCTAAATCACAATCAACTTAAAAGATGCCAAAAAGCTTTTGTTTTATATGGATTTTATAGGCTCCTAAACGCAATCAGTATTGAATATATTGAATTGGGGCGCTTTTTGGGTTCTATTTCAAAAATGATTTTGTAGAGAAATAAGTGACCTTTCTAATGATACTACCCGCGTGTCATTTAAGAATGAATTATCGGCTTGTTGATTACAATCGTTTAGTAAATTAGCATCTTGCTCGTCCTTTAAGCTTAAACTACGGGATGGTGTTGAGGTTTGCCTTCACCAAAAACCTTTGTTTTTTTCAAAAAGCAAAAAAATGTCTCGGACTTCGGACCACAAAGACAGATCTTGGAGACTATTCTAATAGATTAGGTCCCATTTTTGAATTTTCCAAAAAAAATCCTACACCTGGGGCCGAAAAGCGAACATTGAAAGCACAAAAAATTCGTCCCTCCTGCTTCTGTAAATGTTGCATTTGGAAAAGTTTTGTTATTAATGTAAATAGCGAGCATCGTCGACGAGAAAAAACCAAAAGTATTCATTCAGAGTTGGTAAGAAAGTGGATTGAAAGGCGCAAGTTTGCCTCAAAGGATACGCGACGCAAATAATTTGGCACTTTTGCTAGCACCTCCGAAATGATTCCAAACTGAATGGTTAATCAAGTGCAACGCACTTTGTGCATATAGGGGCGTCAACAATGTCATATACATGTAGGAGAAATCTTCAAACAAAAAACAGAAGAAAATTCTGTAGTGAACATAATCAGCGAAAACGATGAAGGCATAACATTTAAAACCAGATTAAATTCGAGAGAACTGGCACGGAAAGTAGGTAAGTACATATTTATGCAAAATATCGCGGAAAGCTTTAGATTGACTTACTGGGAAACTCAGTCTCACTAACAAATGAAAAAGGACAAGATTTTTGGGGTCTTTCCACAAGATATTTTTAGTAAATTTAGTTAAAACAAAATAGATAGCAGCTATTAATGTGTAATTGGCCAATTTGATGAGTAGAAGCTGATTTGTGAACTCTCACCGAAAAGCTTTCGCAGAGAAACGAGAATCGATCATCGCAATGATTCATTGAGTTGGATATGGGTCACGGTTATTCCTAGAAATACTAGGTGATAAACAAGCGTTTAATCCTTTAGGGGATGAATTTAGGTATTTTCTTTTTCAAATTAGCAAAGCAATGGAAATTTGAGAAACTCTGTACAAAATCTAGAACCTAACCCTGTTAAAAGATGTAAAAACAAACCCAAGTTCCGTTTTCGGCAAAGGAGTTGAGCGGCTGCAATTGTATCAAAAGCAAGACAATCGGATTGTGAAATGGCGTGCGCTACTCCCTCGTGAATGGACCGCGGTGTAGCCCCATTACAAGGCGATGACGATGAAGGCTGAGATTCAAGCCTAAATTACCAGCTTTGTTCGTTAAAGTTTCTTAATCCCCTGTAAATAAAGTTTTTCTGATTCTTATTTGACTCTAATCAGTTGAAAAACGGCGTAGAAAAAAATTTGTTGGTGATTGCTCGAACTTTTTCTAAAAAAAGGGACCTGTAGTCCAATTTAAAGCTTCGGGAGTACTGGCATAAATTGATATCCAAAACAGTTCTAAAGCTTTTAGTTTATTGTTACAAATCAAAGCTAACCTGCATCATGATCAACTAATCAACTGCACCCGGTAAATTGATGTTTAGCTAAAAAGACAATGTCCTCGCTCTAAAAGAAAACATTTATTGATATTGATCAGTTAAAACATACCCAGTAAAGTCGTAATGCTTTTATGGATTTCATCAAATGTGGCATCACTTAGGGAAGGGCTCCTGGCATCTAAAAATTTATCTATTAGCTTACCAAAAACCCAAACAACCAATCCCGGTACGACGCACGGCAAGTGCGGCTGTAGGGTCTGTAAAGAACAAATTGTTACATAAATTTATGTATCACTTTGTAATGTCATCTTCAACACTAAACACTTACCTGAACTCAAACGCCTCTTCATGAACGAATGTATCGTAATTCAGCAAAGCTTGTACTTTCTTTTGATCTCTTTGATCAGATGCTTGATCAGGACCACATGTATCTCCGACATTTTCTTATAACTTTCTACCAGGATATTGCACTTCCTTCCCCCGGCCCTTCCCCTGACCCGATCATAACACCTCCTTCTTGGACTGATCTACTTTTTACCACCCTTTCTCCCTTTTTTCCTTCAATTTTAGTGCCATCACCACTTGTGCACTCTGATCGAGCTTTTGCAAAAAATTGAATGACTTTTGATTCATCTTTGTTCTGTTTGTTCCGTGTTTTTTACTTTCATAGAAAGCTTTTACTTACTCTTACTATTAGTAATTTCTTTAATCTTAAGACTAGCACTAGAACTATACTATACTAGGTTATTACATACTCATTTTACTATATACTATTATACTACTTCCAGATACCTATACTAGACTTCGACTTAATAAATAAAATATTAATATTAATTCTCCCAATATTAAAATTATTGGGAGAATAACATTTACTCTTCAAAGAATTCTTAGTCACGAGGAATCCTGTGACTAGAGCACCAGTAAATGCAACTGTCTGGATCTCTAGATTATTATCTGAGTTAATGTGTCAGTATTTAGGTACAGTGGCTAGACCAAAATTAGACCAAACTAGAAGCCAGGTTCAAGCCAGTTCCGGCCCTGGAAATAGAAATTAGACTTTGCCAGGTCCAGATGGTTTCTTGCAGATCAGTTCTTGCCTTGTCCTGGTGTGACCTGGGGAATTGATTTGAAGACCTAGAGGGCCAGATCAGAACAGAAAACAGGACTGGCTTCTGACTTGGCCTCAGTCTGACTTGGATGGATCGGCCTGGAGCTATGGAGTATGTCAATACGACCAACACAATCGTTTTATAATAGGTAATTGTACAGTATACAAATTTCCATGAATTCGGGAAGGGGTTTGGAATTCCTCTGTACCCTTCCGGCCCTTTCTAATTCAAGATCTAGGAAGCATTTATCATCTTGTCTACAATTACAATGGTAACAAAGACTTCATTTCTTTTCACTCTTTCAATAGGACTCAAGTCTGTTAGTCACTTTCTATTCTTTTATTTATAGTTCCAGAAATCATTTTTTAACAGTTTAACAGTTCAACTTTGAAAGCGTTTCTGGAACTTTCTCCTCCGTTGACCAACATCTCATTTATTCATTTATACAATCGGAAATGAAAATGTGGAAGGAAACTCCTAGAATAGTCACCAAAAAAATGACAGACCATCGTTTTCTTATCGTTTTCTCCAAAAATCTTCTTCTTTCCCAGCGGCTTATATTACAAAAAGGCAGCAAAAAGTCGTTCCTGTTTTCGGAAATTTCAAAAAGCAAACTATGCCGAAGCGAGAAAATTTTTGTTTAATAATTCTGTTTGCCTTGTATTACATTCTGTTTAATTTCTCGGCTCCTGTATTTGATCAACTTTCACCGGGTATTTTTAAAGATGTTCATTTTCAAGAGTCAACTTCAGATCAAAGCGAATTTGATGTCTTCGATACATGCCCGCTCAAAATCTATGATCCTTATTATAAAGAGATGGGGCTGACTGTTCGGTTGGTGAGAAATTTTCCTTTTGGACCGGCTTGAAATCACAAAAAGTATAGGCCAAAGTTGTTTTAACAATAGAACTTTTCTCTCTACGTACTAACCAAAGGTATCTTAAGTTTGGGCTATTTTTGAGCTTTTACAAAAATTATGGTGTTGCTCAGTTAAGAAGAGTTTATTTATAGTTTTGCTTATTGAATTCCATCGAAAACTTGCTGCCTTTCTTGCCTAATTCTTTGAATAAGGTCTGTTTCAGATTGCTGAAGGCTTCGATAACTGCAACAAAAACTACAAACCGTTTACGAAACTCGAGAAGGGAAAAGCTTTCATTCATCCAGAGAAACTAAAACAAGTCTCCTATTGTAGAGGAAGGTGATTGATGGGAAAACCCATAGAGCTTTCTCTAGGTGTTACACTTATGTGCACGCTACAAAGTCGACTCTGAAAAACGTGGGTCAATATGACTGGAGACGAAAAGATCGCCGTTCCATGTGACTTCTTCAAAACGGAATGCTTTTCAAAAGAAGGAGAAAGTGTCGATCAGTGGATGCATGTGCAAATAGTAGAAACGAATCACAGGCAACTCGGAATGAAGACTTCGATTTGACATCGTTTTAGTAATTGTGAAGGCTGAAGAGGCTGAATTTCCGGGAGCTCGACCTGATATTTTCTATTTTGTTTTCGATTCGTCTCCTCTACTCAAGCTAGACGGGAGCAAAACAAAATTTTCGAAACAGATTCCAGGTCAGCTCTTCAGTTAAATGCCAGGCCACATTTTCTCAGATCCTAAAGCTATCAGACAGTAAAAGACGGCTTTGGTTTGACCCAGTAAGTCCTCAACAGTCTGAGGAATGGCCTTTTGGCCAACGAGCCAGTAATTTTTAAATACTTGCCTGGTTAGTCTCAAGCCTATTTCCAGAACGATCCCAAGAACTCTGAGCTTTCTCGAGACAAAAATGGGTGCTGTTCAGTTTTATCACTTGAACAAAGTCGGGGACAACACCCCGCCGAATGCCTACGGCTTTCTGATGGGTGAGTTCATTTTTGAGGACATTTTCCACTAACATAGAAGTTTTATCTTGCGTTTGACTTCTTTTTGACTTTTGATCAACCATAAAATTCATGCTTTTTTGGTCATACGGAGTCTTCTTATCGCTTCTGGACACCCAATTCTAGTCTTTCAAATTGGAAAAATGTTTCAAAAATGGATCGATTCTTTGTTTGTAAGTTTAGTCAATTTAGGTTGGCGTACGTCAAATGTAAATCGAGTGGCTGTTGGGGGGACAAATTTGAAGCCACAGTACCCAAAGGACGTTTGGTGCACTCAATATCACGATAATGATTCCGTCATTTATCGGGAATTCGAGAAAATTGGTCAGCAGTCGGCCGTAACCAAGCTAGAGACAGAAAAAAAAAGCATAAAAAAGAAAAGTCCATGATCCAAAAGAGTGTCAACAAGTTTTGTAATACGTCCGACATTTTTGGAGTTACTGATTAATCAAGTTATTCACTGGTTGCTTGTTAGACTTCAACACACAGCAAAGAGTTTTCTAGGCTACAAACCGCTTACAACGATGACTAAAGGCATGGACCGGCGTTCACGTGGCCTAACTGCAAGAACTTCAAGAATCAGGAGGTATGAATCATTTAATGCGGGTGATTATTTGTCATCACTTGAAACAAGCCGCTTGACAGAACGCTGGCCACTGTTTATCAAGGAGACAAAGATTTGAGGAAGCATTGATGTCGAAGGAAAACTGCTGGGAAATGCAGAAACACGAGCTCCTCTACATGAAACAGTTCATTGATTCAAAATAAGGTGAGCCACTAAAAAGATCTATTCTACTGAACGTTGCTGATTAAATTTTATGTGAAAGACGGTTCTTTGACAAAAAGTAGCAGTCCTTTTCCAGGCAAACCAAAATTCGGTATCAACTGGAGCAACACTCTAACGCACGACGATGCAAATTTACTGTTCCATGCTGACGAAGATTTTCTTGTAAGCAATTTTGGCTTACATTGTTAAGATTGATCTACCTTTCAGACATTCTTTCAAGAAAACCAGAAAAAGCTTGAGAATTCTTTTATTATACTCGTTGGAGATCATGGAATGCGATTCGGATCGGTGAAAAAGACCTGAGATTGGAAATTTTAGATTGAAAATGGTTTTAGGTATCTCAGACAACGCTTGGAAAACGAGAGATCAAGAATCCGCTTCTGCAAATCACCGTGCCAAAGTTTTTGCGTGAAAACAAAGAGGCACGACTTGATACAGAATACCAAATACTGTAAAACAATCAAGAATTTCACGACTAGTGAACCTGTCAAATTTCAGCTTATAATCTTTAAACTAGAACTTATAAGTTGTATTTTAACTTATGAAAAACATGCCAAAAACTAGGCTTCTTGAATTTTCTTTAATTCATTTCTTTAATTCCCCACTTAACTTTCCATCTTCTTTAAAGTTTCATCAATAAAGTTTCAATAAAGTTCTTGAATAGAGTTTTTAGTTGATGAGAAATCTCTACGAAAACGCGCAGCGCCTTGTCACTCACTACGACATTTACGCGACTTTGAACGATATTTTGAATGTTTGAGAAGCTTTTTTCAAATCAAACTAAAATTTCAGTTTGGTCTCCCATCCAATTTCACTGATTTCTCCGAGAAAGAAGTCCTCGAGAAAAACGAGAATAACGGGACCTCTCTGTTGAGGCCGTTCAGTGAGAAATATCAGAAAAGAACGTGTCGAAATATCCCAATCGACACTTCATATTGTCTCTGTGAATATGAAAAAAAAGAGATTACGTGAGGGAATTGAATTTGCAAAGAAAACATCAAATTTCAGTGACAAAAAGCTGGGGAAAGCCGCTGGAGGTATAGCAACGTTTGAATTAAATAAACTGATCTCGGATAAAGAAGCCGAGAATTTGTGTCACAAGTTGACACTGGATACGGTAAGTGGTCCACCATTTCGTAAAAGGAAACTTTTAGATAAAATTGCTTGCTTTTGTGCCGTTTGAGAAAACGAGAACTTTCGAAGCGGTTTTCAAAATGAAACCGAGCAACGGGGAGTTCAGCACGGCGAGTTTTTGAGCCAAATTTTGAAGCAAAAAGTTCATCTTTTGAAGCAAGATTTCTAGATTCTGAGACTCGACAACTCAAATTCTCTGCAAAGAGCCGGTGAAATTCTCCGAATAAATCGATACGGAAATCAGAGCGTCTGCCTGAATGCGCTGCCCGCAAAATACAATGACATAATGCAGTATTGCCTTTGCAAATAGTTTCAGTGACTGCTATGGCTTTACTCAAAAAGCTCAGGCTTTCTTTCAATGGCACTTTCAGTGTATTTTTTTGAATTTAATTTCACAAAAATGTTTTGTTTTGATTGCTTTGTTTTGGTTTTGTGTATATGCTAAAGACTCTTTTGGCTCATAAATCTATGATTTCACAGCAGTGGTCAACTGAAATTTTTTATGGAGAAAGTTTTTTGACAACAAAAATTCAGAATTTTGTGATATATTGGCTCATTAACTTGTACTTGTAAATACTTGTAAATACCTAAATGAAAACAGAGGTTAACCCGGAAACAGTTTTTAAATGTCAAGTAAGACTTTAGGGTACTTGAAATTAGGATTTACTTTACTTTTCCCGACACTACCTTCATTCCGATTCCGTGCAAAACGAAAAGAAACAGTGGTCTTTGCGAAATGATTCGTAAAAAAGAGAATACACAGTTTTCTAGTCATCAATTTTTCGTTCGTACAACCGTACTGCTGGAAAGGCCTTTCGTATATCCTCAAAATGTGTCCTCAACTTTTCGGTGACGGCCTTTCCCCTTTCGGAGTCAACTTTGATGGGGTGAGCCGTCTTTTTGGCGACTTGCCGGTAATGTTTTGGTATGTCATCAAGCACCAGATGATTGCTGTAAATGAAGATTTCCGTGCTCAGATTCTTGCGTGGAATGCCCTATTGTGGAGCTTGGAGCAGGCATTTCGAAAATCTTCATTTTTGTCGGCAAGCACATGTATTTTTGGTACGCGAGACTCGGACAAAATTGAATAAAAAGCGCCCGGAGGGCCAGGAAGCGAGACTTTTTGGCAATCACGGAGCTTTGTGGAAGAAAACACCACATGGTTGAAGTATTTTGTTGAAAAACATTTGTTTTGAGCTTTTTAACCAGAAAAGATTCAAATAAACCATGTGTGAGTCCTTGAAACCTGTTCATGAAAAGCTGCTATTGAGTTGCGTGTCGAGAGTTGTTTTGGGCGCATCTTCCGAGCCTCTAATAAAAAGCTCAAGAGCCTTCTACAATTTGTATAAAAAGATACATTATCCTTGGAGGCAATTTTCTTATTAAATTGAAATTAAATGAGTT